CTTTGACCAATTCTAAGGAGCGAGAAAGATTCAAATGGGAGAGTTGAACTTTCTGATCTGAAGACGGATGTTTCAGCACTAGGTCATTTCACAAAGACATTTGAAATGTTTGGTTTCCTTCCAATGGGGAACAAAAGCAAAATGGGCAATTTGTCAGGTAATGGAGTGATCTCCAGTTCTGGCGTAAGTGCATAAAGGAAGGTCTTAGCTACACTTAGCAACATGGCCTCATAGTCACAACTGCTTTCAATTGATCCAGCCAAAGACGAAAAATGTTGCTGACAACATTCCCAGCTGAAGAGCAGGCCATGAAAACTGTCCTTTTAGGCAGCTCAGGGTCCTAGAGCAAATGGATAAACCTTGTTGTGTGTGTAAGTAGCCTATGAGGAATAAACAGGAAGAACTGGAAGTATTAATACATACGCTAAATTATGACTTGGCCTCACAGAGATGTTTCATGACTGGACTATTGGTATACAGAGGTGTGGCATGATCAGGAAGGCCAGATAAGATCAAAAGTGCGGAGGCGTTGCATAGTATATCAAGAATAGACACTTGTTCTGAGGTCTAGAAGGTGAGAGGAAGACCATTTGAAATTCTCTGGACAAAGATAAAAGAGATACAAATTAGGAGTGATGTGATGGTGGAAATCTACTAGAGACCATCAGTCAGGAAGACGAGGTGAATGAGGCATTTCTAGAACACCTCACAGAAATAGGACAAGAAGCAATGGACTTAAATTGCAGCAGGGTAGACTGAGGCTGGACACCAGGAAAAACTTCCTACCTGTCAGGGTGGTTAAACACTGGAATAAATTGCCTAGGGAGGTGGTGGAATCTCCGTCTCTGGAGATTTTTAAGTGTAGATTAGACAGACATCTATCAGTGATGATCTAGATCAGGGATACTCAACACACCGCCCATGGGCCGCATGCAGCTCATTTGTTTGCAGCCCGCAAGGCAGGATCCTTTGAACATGGCCTCCACTGGGAACATGCTACACAATGGCGCGTCAATATAACAGTCTTCTGTTGATATGCATTTTAGTAGTTACATTCCTGGACTGTCATTGCTCATTAAAAGTGCTGTCATATGGGTGGAAATCGGATAAATATTGCATTTTATTAATATCAGTAGAACTGACTTCAATGGGGCCTGTGTGTTGTGTAGTCCTGCCTTAATCTTTGTATTCATGCCCATCAGTGTGAAAGAAGCTTTTTGCATGTATATGCAACCACACTTAAGTTGCAGCCCTCCGCATATGCTGGGAGTATCACTGTGGCCCCTGGGGCTTCCAAAGTTGCGTAGCCCTGATCTAGATGGTGCTTGGTCCTGCCATGAGGGCAGGGGACTGGACTTGATGATTTCTCGAGGTCCCTTCCAGTTCTAGTGTTTTATGATTCCATGGTATCCAAAGCACAAGATTTGGTAGTAATGGATGACTTTAACTACCCAGTCTCCTGTTACAAAAATAACATGGCAAAACACATTTCGTATTTGTCCTTGGAATGTATTAAGGACAAATTCATGTTTCGGAAAATGGGGGAACTCAACAGTCATCTTAAATTGACTCTGATGAGTAGGGAGGAATTGGTAGCAAACCTGAAGCTGGAATGCAATTTGGTTGAAAGTGATCATTAAATGATGGATTTCGTGATTCCAAGGATAGGAAGGCATGAGAGGAACAGAATAAGGACGATGGATTTTTTTTAAAAAGCAGACCTTACCAAACTCAGAGAACTGTAGGTAGGGTCCTACAGGAAGAAAATCTATGGGGAAAAGGGAGTTCTGGAGAGTGTCAGTTTATCAAGGACACAATTTTAAAGGCAACACTGTAAACTATTCTGTTGCTATGGAAAGATAGGAAGAACAGCAAGAAGCCTGTCTGTGTCTGGCTGGTGAGTCTTGCCCACATGCTCAGGGTTTAGCTGATCGCCATATTTGGGGTCAGGAAGGAATTTTCCTCCAGGGTAGATTGGCAGAGGCCCTGGAGGTTTTTCGCCTTCCTCTGTAGCATTGGGCACAGATCACAGCTGAAGGACTCTCTGCATGTTGGGGCCTTCAAAGTATTTGAAGGCTTCAATATCTGAGACATAGGTGAGAGGATTATTCTAAGAGGGGTGGGCGAGATTCTGTGGCCTGCACTGTGCAGGGGGTCAGATTAGATTATCATAATGGTCCCTTCTGACCTTAAAGTCTATGAGTCTATAAGCCAGTATGGCTTGACCAGGAGCTCTTAATGATGTCAAAGTGGAAAGGGAATACTATACAACTGGAATTATGGATGAATTACCCCAGATGAGTACAAACGAATGGGACAAACATGGAGTGACAAAATCAGAACAGCAAGGGCACAAAATGGGTCACACCTAGTAAGAGACATTAAGGGTATGTCTATGCAGCAGGCCAAAACTCATATTAAGCTACGCAATTTCAGCTATCTTGATTGCGTAGCTAAAGTTGAAATAGCTTAATTCAGCTTTTGGTGCTGTCTACGCAGCAGGAAGTCGAAGGAAGAGCACTCTTTCTTCGACTTCCCTTACTCCTCCTAAAATGAAGTTTACAGGAGTTGGATTAAGAAGTCCTCCAGCTCGACAATATTTCAAAATAATGGCTTAGAGTGTAGACGTCAGTTATTCCGAAATAATGCTGCAGTGTAGATATATCCAAAAGACAATATCAAGAGATTTTTTACATATATTACGAGCAAGAGAAATAAACAAGAAAATGTGGGTCCTTATTTAGCAGGGAAGGAGAGTTAATAATAAGATGATATTAAGAAGGCTGATGTGTTGAACGTCCATTTTGCAACAATTTTCAAGAAAATTGTTAACGATGTTCAGATACTCAACACAATTAGGGTGCAGCTACACAGCAGGGCTTAACTCGGAATAAGCTACGTAAATTGAGCTACGTCAATTGCGTAGCTTAAGTCAAAAGAGCTTACCGGTATTTTGAAATTGGTAGCATCTACACAGCACTATATGTCTACAATGCATTCCTCCTTCGAGAGAGGAATGCAAATGCAGACAAGCGAAAATGCAAATTCCCGTGCTTCATTTGCATAATCACGGACTGCCGCTTTTCCGAAACAGCATATTTCGAGAAAACAAATGTGGTCCCCACGGGGTTATTTTGAGAAAAAAACTTTCCTTTGAAATAACCCTTACTCCTCATGAGGAAATACTTTTTCTCAAAATAACCCCGTGGGGACCACATTTGTTTTCTCGAAATATGCTGTTTCGGAAAAGCGGCAGTCCGTGATTATGCAAATGAAGCACGGGAATTTGCATTTTCGCTTGTCTGCATTTGCATTCCTCTCTCTCGGAAGAAGGCAATGTAGACATACCCAAATAGAATACTCTTCCTCCCACTTCTCTTACTCCTCATACAATGAGTATTACAGGAGTCAGAGTAAGAAGTCCTCCAGCTTGACAATATTTCAACATTATTTCGAAATAACTGCTTGCTATGTAGATGCGGACTAAGTTATTTTGAAATAATGTTGCTGTGTAGATGTACCCTTAGAATTAACAACAAAGGGGAAGGAACGCAAGCCAGACTACGGAAAGAACAGGTAACAGAACATGTAGATAAGTTAGATATATTCAAAGTGAAGGACAGGATTAGAATTTAAAATGACCTTGACAAAGCAGAGAATCGGTCTGAATTCAATGGATGAAATTCAGTAAAGACAAATACAAATTACTTAGGAAGGAAAACATACAACTTCAGACTGAAGAATACATGGCTAGTGGTAACACTGCTGAAAAAGATCTGGGTGTTAGAGTGGATCACAAATTGAACGAAAGTGAACAATGCGATGCGGCAGCAAAAAAAGGCTAATATCATGGTCAGATTAACCAGAGTGTCCTGCGTAACACGTGGGAAGTAATTGTCCAGCTGTCCTCAGCAATGGTGAGGCCTCAGCTGGAGAACGGTATCCCGTTCTGGGTGTCGCACTGTTGGGACAATGTGGAGAACTTTGTGAGGGTCCAGAGGAGAGAAACAAAAATGACCAAAGGTTTTAGAAAACCTGGCCTCACAGGAAAGGCTTCAAAAACTTGACTTGTGTAGTCATGAGTAAAGAAGACTGAGAGGGGGCCTGATAACAGTCTTCAGTTATGGTCAGCGCTGTTATAGAGAGGATTGCGATCAATTGTTCTCTATGTCCACTGAAGGTAGGGCAAGACGTAATGGGCTTACTCTGCAGAAGGGAGATTGATGTTCGATATCAGGTAAATCTTTCTGATTGTTAGGCTAGGTAAGTTCTGAAATAGGCGAGGCCATGTCTACACACCACAGAAGATCATCACTGACGCGATCAATCTTCTGGAGTTTGATTGAACGAGTCTAGTTAAGACTCACTAAATCAAACTCAGAGGGAACCCCTGTCAGCTGCCAGTACTCCTGCTTGTGCAAGGAGTAAGGGAAGCCAACAGAAATGTTTGCTCCTGCTATGGGGACAGCAAGGAAACACAAAACAAGATACGATGACTCCAGCTATGTAATTAAGGTAGCTGGAATTGCATATCTTGCTTTGACGTCGCCTTCCAATGGTGTGACCACGGAAGACTGTGGGATCCATATTATTGGAAGTTTTCAAAAACAATTTGGATAAGCAGCTGTCAGGCATGGTCTAAGTTTACGTGGCCCTGCCTCAGCAGAGGGGACTGGACTAAAAGACCTCTCAAGGCCCCTTCCAGTTGAAGGTACGTCGACTCTCAATTCTCGTAGCTGGAGTTGGGTGTCTTAAGTCAAATTCCCGGCATAGTGTAGACACAGTGGCCTGCCTCTGTGTTCTTCTGAAGAAGGGCTCATGTCATTCTGTGGGGAATGGTCCCGTGTATTCCCCACTCAGTAACAGATCCCTGCATCTTTCCCTCTTCCACAGCTACCAGAGAGTCGGCTTTCGTCCATGCCATTGCCTCTGCTGGCGTGGCTTTTGCAGTGACCAGATCCTGCGCCGAGGGCTCAGCCACCATCTGTGGCTGCGATACCGGGAAGGCTGGAAATGGGGAGGCTGCAGTGAGGACGTGGAATTTGGCACCATGGTGTCACGAGAGTTTGCGGATGCCCGGGAGAACAGGCCCGATGCTCGGTCAGCCATGAACAGGCACAACAATGAAGCTGGGAGGACGGTAAGACCATTTGGTTTCATTTTATTAAGCCTCTAAAAACGTTTCCTTCCCAAACTACCACCACCCCCATCTAAACCCCTAGGCGAATGGCAAGAAGAAACTCAGAAGAACTAGGTTCAGTGCTGTAGCCCTTCCTGCCATGTGCATTATAGAGTCCCCTCTGCCTGTGATCTACAGAGGATATGAGTCTGCTATCACTACCAGCTATGAGTCTTAGGCCTGGATCCCCAAAGACATTTAGATGCCTAACTCCCACTGAGGACATGCCATTGAAGATCTGGGACTTAGCCACGGAAGCCCAGGAACTCCCAAGGTTCATTCCCAAGGAAGGCTGAGAGGAAGGTCATCCCATACAGATTTCCCTGGGCTCTGATGTCTGTGCCTCTGCCCGCCTAGCAGGTACCTGCAATAGCCCTACATTTACTCTCACTGCCTGGGATTAGCACCTGAGGAAAAGGGCTGACTGTCAACTGGGCAATTTCAAGACAAGACCTGCTTCCCCAGGAAGCTATCTTGGCTTGCAGCTCACTTCTTCAGCCCTCATCCTATTATATTCCTGTTCTCACCTGCCTAACGGAGACCTCCAGGTTTATCCTATATAGGGACCAAACTTCATTAAATTGCAGAATCAGAATAGCTTACCCTGATCCTCTACTCCAGAGGTGAGCAAAAAGGCCTTAATGGGTCGAATCCTGCCCGTCAAGTGGGTTGATCCGGCCCACGGAGGCCCTGCCATTCCCCCGCCCCCAGACCAATTAGGACCTAGGGGCGGGGTGAAGCACGCAAAGTTTCCTCCACCCGGCCCCCACCCTGCAAGGAGCGTGTGGTGCTTAGAAGCACTGCGCACTCCTGGCAGGGTGGGAGGAGGCTTTGCGTGCTTCTCCCCTCCCCCCCCCAGCTTGATTGGTTGGGGGCAAAAAGGGGAGTGCGCAAAGTCTCCTCCCACTGCCAGGAGTGTGGGCGCCTAGACGGAACCTCGGGGGGGAGGGGCAAAAGCACTCCCCCACACCCCAGACCAATCATGGTCTTTGAGTGGGGAAAGCAGACAAATATCCTGACCCCGCCCCTTCCACTTGAAGCCCTGCCCCTTGTGGGGTGTCCTGAGGCCACTACAAAAATTTCTGAAGAGGCCCTCGGCAAAAAATTATTGCCCACCTGTGGTCTACTCCTTTATTAAGTTGTTATCAATGGTCCCTGTCCACTACCCTAGAAATATATGGCTACAAAGTCATCACTCCTCCAAGATGGTGTTCCACCGCTGAATATAACCACAGTCCAGAACAGGCCAAAACTCCAGAGCAAGCTACCCTGATGGAGATGGGTAAAGCTCTACAGAAGCGAATGGAGTTATTCTAGTCTATACCAGCTGAGAATCTGGCCCTACATGGGAAACACAGAATCTTTACAATTCAAGATGAATTCCCACTGCAAAATGAGGGATGCAGCAACTAAATGCAGAAAAGAGATGCAAGATATGTCATTGGAGGTCATTTGACATCAAGTTGTCCGTCGGGTCCTGGATACCATGAATTACTGAACATTTCTCCTGGCAGTAAAAGGCAGGGACAGCTGGAGGCTTGGATAGGATAATGAGGGATTTGCCTCATAATGGAACTCAATAAAAACATACGATATTAGCTGTGAGTTCAGCAGTGATACTTTAGGCTCTAGTCAGGGTTATCTTCATCGTCGGTCCATCTGCAAGGCTCTGTTCCAGTTTTAGGAACCTGAGAGATGTCACACTTGAGCTAGAAAACTGCACAACATTAAAACTAAAATCCTGTCGCTTCAGAAACTGCATCTGTTTCCCATTCACGCTCTGCTGATCCTCACTGGCTATATCTACACTGCAGAGCTATTTCAGGATATCCCGAAAAAGCTATTCTGCATCTTCAGAGCGTGCCCGTTATTTCAAATTATAACAGGCTCGCTATTCCGACGTCCCTGTAAACTTCATTCTACGAGGAGTAAGGGATGTTTCGGAATAGCAGTTTATTTCGAAATAAGTGTTGTGAAGACAGTGACAAATTTCGAAATAAGCTATTTTGAAATTGATGCGAAATAAGCCACGCAATTTGCGTGGCTCAAATTGTGTCACTTATTTCGAGCTGTGGGTGCAGTGTAGACACACCCATTATGTGCCCAAGTTCTCCAAATTCAATTCTCCAAATTCAAGTATTTCCAGTTAATAAAACTAAGCCGTAGGGGAAGACTCAACCAGTTCTCTTAAGAGCTGAAATCCAATCCCCACACCAAAAGCTGTGACTGAGATTCAGATGATTATGTGAACCAAACATTTTGCAGTTCTCCTGTCACTAATTACAATCTCCTTGGAATGAATGAAGCTGTCTCACTGGGCCCCCCCAAAAAAACAAAAAAATGTTGATGCCTATTGTAGTGGCTGATTCATGGCACATCTTTTGGACTTAGCTCGGCGCTAGTCTGTTTAGTTATGTCTACAGTTGCACCCTCTTTCGAGAGAGGGATGCAAATGAAGAGATTCAAAATTGCAAATTAAACCGGGATTTAAAATATCCCGTGCTTCATTTGCATATTTGCATTATGGTGCTATTTCGAAATAGCGCTATTTTGAAATAAGAGATGCTGTTAAGACGTGGTTATTTCGAGAGAAAACCCTTCTCTAAATAACTGGTAAACCTCTTTGTATGAGGAATAAGGGTTATTTTGAGAGAAGGATTTTCTCTCGAAATATTCGTGTCTTACCAGCGCCTGTTATTTCGAAACAGTGCCATAACACGAATATGCAAATGAAGTGCAGGCTATTTAAATCCCGGCTTCATTTGCAATTTCGAATGTCTTCATTTGCATCCCTCTCTCAAAAGTGGGTGCAAATGTAGACATATCCTATATGCACGCAGAAATGTGGAGTTCAGCTTGGAACGACGCAAGCTATCTTCTGCCTTACAATGGTGGTGGAAATCTTTGGATCTGTTTCGTCCATCGGTGAGGCACGCACAATGAAGGTAGTAGTCATTTCTTCTGTTTAGACCAGGATGGAATTTTACCCTCTCCATCCGGTAATCATGCCACCCAGAGATGCAGCATTGCCAAAAACTCAAGATCATGAGACTGGCTTAAAAATAATCATACATTTCGAGTTCTTTTCATAGACAACTCTCAGGGATGATCTAGATGGTGCTTGGTCCTGCCATGAGGGCAGGGGACTGGACCTGATGACCTCTCGAGGTCCCTTCTGGTTCTAGTGTTCTAGGATTCACAGCTTACTCTTTCTCTTTAACTGAATGAAAGTTGAGATCCTCGCCTATTCATATGCATCCAGGAGCTGGGGCCTTAAGGAAAACGCCAACTAGTATGAGTCTTGTCACCAACTCTTGCAGTTTGATCACACTTTTGTCGCAGGGGACTGGACCTGATGACCTCTCGAGGTCCCTTCTGGTTCTAGTGTTCTAGGATTCACAGCTTACTCTTTCTCTTTAACTGAATGAAAGTTGAGATCCTCGCCTATTCATATGCATCCAGGAGCTGGGGCCTTAAGGAAAACGCCAACTAGTATGAGTCTTGTCACCAACTCTTGCAGTTTGATCACACTTTTGTCGTGCCGCCTGTAAAGGAAATCGAAGGGTGAAGCAGGAAGTAGTATTGGTGATTCAGTAGGTGACACTCCTTGGCTAGAGTCTCTTTTGCAAGAAAAGGGATAGTTGATGACCTGGTGAAATTCCAATTTGGATAATCACAGCCCATTTCACCCGTGAGTTGTTTAAATCAGCGTCCTTCGCTCCCTGTCCTAAAGTATTGTTTGCTTTGGCTAAGTGCAGTTCCCTGTACACTGAATCTTTAGGTGGCCCCCCAGGAGAGACTCAGGTGCTGCCCAGCTGATTAACAGAGTGCCCACAGGGCCCACAGCTGGCATCATGTGTTTCTGTAAATAGGTCAATGGAGAGATGATAGGAGTTACTATACAGAACTTTCTGGGTGTCTGGCTGGTGAGTCTTGCCCACATGCTCAGGGTTTAGCTGATTGCCATATTTGGGATCGGGAAGGAATCTTCCTCCAGGGTAGATTGGCAGAGGCCCTGGAGGTTTTTTGCCTTCCTCTGTAGCATGGGGTACAGATCACAGCTGGAGGATTCTCTGCATCTTGGGGTCTTCAAACTATTTGAAGGCTTCGATATCTGAGATATAGGTGAGAGGATTATTCCAGGAGTGGTTGGGTGAGATTCTGTGGCCTGCACTGTGCAGGGGGTCACACTAGATGATCATAATGGTCCCTTCTGACCTTAAAGTCTATGAGTCTATGAGTGTATTGGTGGTGCACATCCACACATGCCTGGTGCACAGAACAAAATTTATGTTGCACCCAGTAAGAAAAAATTACAGGGAACACTGGCTAAATGCCATTAAAAAGCTGCTGTATTCCACTTCAGAGGTGGTTGCATTTTACTCCTGAGTAAAGGGATCTTTGTGTGTGAATGTAGCAATAGAAATATTTGCATACATGCGTCCAGGAATGAACTTACCTGTCGTTAAAAGCACTTTATGGAGGTCAAGTCCCACTCTTGACTGAGGTATACAAATGCAGTTAATGAAGATAGGAAGTTTTTCCTAATATCCAACCCAAACCTCCCTTAAACTGCAGCAAGGGAAGTTGAGGTTGGACATTAAGAAAAACTTCCTCCCCGTCAGGGTGGTTAAGAACTGGAATAAATTACTTAGAGAGGTTGTGGAATCTCCATCACTGGAGATATTTAAGAGCAGCTTAGAAAAACATCTGACAGGGAAGATCTAGATGGTGCTTGGTCCTGCCATGAGGGCAGGGGACTGGACTTGATGGCTTCTTAAGGTTCCTTCCTGTTGGAGTGTTCTGTGATTTTAAATTACATTGGTTTCCAACCAGCCTTTGGCCTGGGATTCTTTGGGACAAGACGTGCTAAGTAAATAACAGGATGCGTTACTGATCCATATTATAGATTAATGGTCACCTCTTCCCTTTTTCTCTCTTTTTTTAGTCCATTATTGATCACATGCACTTGAAGTGCAAGTGCCACGGTCTGTCAGGCAGCTGTGAGGTGAAGACATGCTGGTGGTCCCAGCCGGACTTCCGGGTCATCGGCGACTACCTCAAGGACAAGTACGACAGCGCTTCTGAAATGGTGGTGGAGAAGCACCGGGAGTCCCGTGGTTGGGTTGAGACGCTCCGGCCCAAATACAACTTCTTCAAGGCCCCAACTGAGAGAGACCTGGTGTACTACGAGAACTCCCCCAACTTTTGCGAGCCGAACCCAGAGACGGGCTCCTTCGGGACCCGCGACCGGATCTGCAATGTCACCTCCCACGGGATCGACGGGTGCGACCTGCTGTGCTGCGGCCGCGGGCACAACACGAGGACTGAGAAACGGAAGGAGAAGTGCCACTGTATCTTCCACTGGTGCTGCTATGTCAGCTGTCAGGAATGCGTCCGCATCTACGACGTTCACACGTGCAAGTAAAGCAGGAATTCCGCAGACGGGCTCCGTGCGGAGAAACGGATTTCAGCCTGCTTCTTCTGAGGTTGTGTAGATGGGCAAGATCTACTTTTTTATATATAGTAAAAGAAAAAATAAAAAAAAGGCTAAAACTGGTTGGATAGAATAGATCTAATGACTTCTTGATCGGCCCAAGACTTCTTGGGATCTGGAGGCTAACCTTACACGCATGGAATGCCGTACAAAAAGATTATGCACCAGTTAGGAGACTGTGATTTTTTTTTAATTACTCAACAACACAGAACTGTGGAGAAGAATGTAAGCAGGGGCATGACGCTTCGCTCTTCTCTCAACTAACCTGGAGAGACTCATGCTATTAAGTGTCCTTTGAAAGACTTGCAGTTTCCTCGCCACCCTCCTGTGCCCTACCCAACAGGAAGAGGCGGTGGCAGACCACAACTCTCAGAAAACTGAGATCCCCTCCAAGCCCCAGCAACCAGTTTTTGTGTGCAACATGTGCAGCAAAACTTTAGAATGCAATAAAAATATTCAGTTCATTAAAAAGCAAATCCTCATTCCATTTCTTCTGGGAACGGGAATTCTGCAAACATTCCTTAGTGCTGTAGAATGGACAAGCTCGTAGCGTGAACTTTTTAACATAGTGGCTTCTTGCCGGAGTGGGCATAGGAGGCAGTGACGCATTTAGGACTGCTGCGGAGGAAGAGACAGCTGATGGATTGCCACCACTGTCCCACTGACACCAGGGAAACCGGTGCGGTATGTGCCGTGATCTACACACACAGCGTACACGTCGTAGGTCAGTGCCCATGCAGCGAATGCATGGCCACAGAGACCGAGATGGCTCTTTTTCATCATCAGTCACTCCAGCAGACATTGACTCAAACTGTCAGGCAGAGGCGTGACTCAGCCGATTAGAAGGAGGCCTCCCATCAAGATGTGCCGTAGGGGAGGACACAAGCTGCTGGTGATTAAGGTGGTGAAGACATTGCACTCCAGGCCAGCAAGTAAAGCAGAGCGGGAGGGGGAAGCATTTCCCCACCTCTGGTTAAGAAACAAAGTAACGGGCACTTAGTTCATTTCACCCGTGCGTGCTGGTGTAGTAGCACCCTCAGAACAGAACTCTGTTGAGAATGGCGGTTCTGAAGGACGGTGTGTTAGGTGTTGCTAGACAAACCCGGAACTGGAACAGCCTGGGACTCTGGTCAAGTTTGGATCCAGAGCCGATCTCTGCAACAAGTGTCTATATCAAAACCCTGAGTCCAAACCACCCTGGGCCCAGATCCAAACCCCAACCTCTCTGCTGTTAATCTGCTTCCACTCTTTGACTCCTGTCCTTTGCCCGGGGGGGGTGCATGCTGTTGTTTCCACAGAGACCTAGATTGGGAGGGCCAACTTGCAGTAGCAAATGTCACTTGCTGTACGGTAATCAGGGTGTGGTGTGGGTTTGTGGGGTCTCCACTCCCTCACACTGGCTTTCACAGCTGCACCACTCCGTTGGCGTTGGGCAAATTATTCCTGATTTCCACTCGTGTAAGGAAGAGGTGAATGAAGCACAGAGTCACGGCATTCTCAGCCCTTCTTCTTCAGGTCTCTTTTCCTCGCCCCCCAGGCTCTCATCTAGAGATACGGGATATGGGCCGATATGTTGTGGGTTTTTTTTCCTTTTGCCATCCAAAACTGCAGAAATGGATGTGGGGCTAGACTCAACGGGAGCCTTTCCACCGAATACAGCTAAGTTAGGTTGTGGCTACACACCTGCATGGGGAAGTCAGAACACCCCTTCTCGTCCCACCTGCTGGCTTGGTTTTCTACAATCCAAGCAGGTGAGCCGGGAGAATGCAGCCAAGAGAAGGAATGAACTGAACCTAATCCCCATGGAGGAGGGAGTGGTGCCCTAGAGGTATGTCTCTGACCCCCATCTCCTCCTGGGCTACTCCTAAATTGAGCTGTGCCCAGAGGCACAAGTTTGCCCTTTGGATTGATGGGGTCAGTTTTGTCTAGACTAAGGCGGACTGATGCCAAAGTGACTTTGTCTGTGGTTTAGAAAAGCGAAAGTATAAACAGAGAATCAGGCATGGGTCTGCCTCCCAGCCTGGCTAACAGCCACTGCCGAAGGAAGCTAGTCCAATGCTATCTTTACAAGGTTGGGAACCAGCAAGGCAATTTAGAAAGTCTTGTCGGAAATGGAAGGAACAAACCGGGGAAGGTTTGGAAAGGAAAAATAATAGAGGAATGCCATTGTGTAAGAGTCAGATTTAGGGACAGCGAATACATGGCCAGCTGCGAGGGATGTCACTGAATGCACCTCTCAAAGGCGCTCACAAGACTGGCGGATGAGGGGGGCACAGGGCACAAGTGTGGGGTTAAGACCCATTGGGGCCTAATTTCATTGACTTCAGTTGGATTAGAGCAGCCATGAATTTATACGTTAGGCCACGTTTACATTAACGGGGAAGGTTGAATTAAGATACGCAACTCCAGCTATGTTAAATACATAGCTGGAGCCGACGTACCTTAATTCGAGTTTCCCCTCTGCAGGAGGACAAAGGGAGCAAACGCCCCCATCAGCTTCCCTTACTCCTAGCAGGAGCAGGAGTACCAGCTCCCAACAGGGGTGCTCTCTGAGTTTGATTTAGTGAGTCTTTCCTAGACCCACTAAATCGAACTCCGGAAAATGGATCATGGCAGAATTGATCTTGAGGAAAGACGTAGCCTTAGAGTAAAATCATTTAAAATCTGTCCCTGATTAACACACACACAAAGACTTGAGTTTGGGGTTCTGAGTGTCCCCAGAGAAAGCCAGTCAGCCTGACTCTGGGCTCGCACCACTTCTGTAGCATGCTAGCTCTACCAAAAGTTACTTCTGATTAACTCCACTGTGAGTGAGGGCAGAATCAAGCCCACCATCGCTAGCTCCTTGGGTTGCTTGGGAAGTGCCAGGAAAAGTCTGGGCACTACCTAAGCTGTGACCTCTTCAGGGGAACACAGTAAATCTTGAACCTAAATATGGCAGATGGGTAAAATGGGGAATAGAACTGCAGTGGAGATGACCTTCAGGCTGCAACATTCAGATTTCAAACAGCTTGACTCTTGGGGGTGGGAGAAAGGGTCCCCAGAACAGAGGATTTTGAACTAGGCCCATATCTAATTGCTCAGTAGCTTTCTTGGTCAAAAGTATTCATCACCATAGAGCCTACGGGGGCAATCCAGGCCCCCTTCAAACCAGTGAAAAGACAACTGCGTGCATTCTGTTACTGATCCCAAATGCATCTGTGAGTTCTAGTCCCAGCTCTGACTGGTCATGGGAGAGAGAGGTTTAGCCCAGGGGTGGGGAACCTAAGGCCCGGGGAGCAGATGCAGCACCTGGCTTGCCTGGATCCGACTCCTGAGGCTCAGCCTCCCCACCCCCTACCAATGAGGAGCCTGTGCAGGTGCGCCAGCCTCCCTGCTGTCCACCCATGGGGTCCCCACCCCCCAGCAATGAGGAGCCTGTGCAGGTGCGCCAGCCTCCCTGCTGTCCACCCATGGGGCTGGAACACAGAAAACCTGCCATCCTGGTATGTGAGGGAGCTCGGGACTCTAAGGCTGTGTCTAGACTACATGGCTCCGACGACGGAGCCATGTAGATTAGGATTATAGGCAAAGGCAAATGAAGCCGAGATTTAAATGACCGCGGCTTCATTTACATTTACATGGCTGCCGTGCTGAGCCGACAAACAGCTGATCAGCTGTTTGTCGGCTCCGCGCGCCAGGCCAGCCCTTTGTCGGCAGCCCCATTATTCCTCGTGGGATGAGGTTTACCGGAGCCATGTAATTTAGACGTACCCCAAGTGCTAATGCTCGCCCAGAGACTGGCTCCTTGGACAAGTCATTGGGGCCTCCTGTAGCCATTGATTTTGGGCATCCAATCTGAGGTGTCTTAAGGGGTCTCATGTTGTCTCACGGCCTCCTCTGGAAAATGAGGATGACAGGCCTTTCTCTGCTTCAGATTCTACGTGCTGTGTGACAGGCGCGACACTATCTCCTTCCCTGAAGTGTCCTGCTCCCTTCTCACTCTCTGGGAAGCCCTTTGCAAACGTCAAGTGCTAAGAGTCACCAGCATCTTAAGCAGGTTAAGGACATAAGAACGGTCATACTGGGTCAGACCAAAGGTCCATCAAGCCCAGTAGCCTGTCTGCCGACAGTGGCCAGCGCCAGGTGCCCTGGAGGGGGTGGACCGAAGACAATGATCAAGCGATTTCTCTCATGCCATTCATCTCCAGGGACACCATTCCTACCCCCTTGCTAATAGCCTTTTATGGACCTAACCTCCATGAATTTATCTAGCTTCTCTTTAAATTCTGTTATATTTCTAGCCTTCACAGTCTCCTCTGGCAAGGAGTTCCAAAGGTTGACTATGCGCTGTGTGAAGAACTTTCACTTATTAGTTTTAAACCTGCTACCCATTAATTTCATTTGGTGTCCTTATATTATGGGAACTAATGAATAACTTTTCTTTATTCACCCTCTCTACACCGCTCATGATTTTATAGACCTCTATCATATCCCCCCTCAGTCTCCTCTTTTCCAAACTGAAAAGTCCCAGTTGCTTTAGCCTCTCCTCATATGGGACCTGTTCCAAAACCCTAATCGTTTTACTTTCCCTTTTCTGAACCCTTTCCAAGGCCAAAATATCTTTTTTGAGGTGAGGAGACCACGTCTGTACAAAGTACTCAAGATGTGGGCGTACCATAGTTTGATACAGGAGCAGTTAGATATACTGTCTCTTATTTTTATCCCTTTCTTAATAATTCCTAACATCCTATTTGCCTTTTTGACCACAGCAGCACACTGTGTGGACGTTTTCAGAGAACTATCCACGATAACTCCACGATAACTCCAAGGTTTCACAACATCTTTCCCTTCCACCTTTATTTATTCTGTATGCCCCGCCACCCCTTCCTGGTAGATCAAAAAGTGCGGCGTTTTTCATCTCCTCACGCCAGCAAATATGAACTATCCCACTCCCCTGAATAAAAAGCCGTGTTTTTCCCTTGCTTTCTTGCGTGTGGCCAAATGTATCTTGGGAGCAGACAGCACCTACCGTGTGGGTCTGGTTGACCATAAC